GAAGTGAGCCACAATGACTGGCTAATTTTTTGTTTCTACTTTTAGTTGCCAGGCTAATTATTTTGTCTTTTAGTGGAGATGGGATCTCGCTCTTGCTCAGGGTGGTGTGGAAATCCTGACCTCAAGTGATCCTCCAGCCTCGGCCTCCCAGAGTGCTAGGATTACAGGCGTGAGCCACCGTGCCCAGCCTAGAAGGGATTTTCTTGAGAGGAGCTACTGGGATTGGATGAGGATTCTAAGGTGGTTCAAGAGGCGGGTCCTTTAGGCACCTATATTTGGGAGAGGGCCTTGGCCCTTCTTCACTTTTTCCAAGTGCTGTTTCAACTAGCTGCTTGCAGTTGCCCCTTTTCTGAATCAGGTAGCAGCAGAGCGTGTGGACATGGAAACCAGTGCTCCCAGGAAGAAGCCATGGTGGACCGTTCCTGAAAACTTTCATGCTCCAATGACATTTTATTTGGAAGAGGGCCAGGAGGAGCTTATCTTCGGTGAGTGGCTTTTGCCTTTGCCCTCTCCTTTATCACTTCTTCTGATCTTCCCCAGCTTTCTCACCTCCATCTGTCCTAGGTCTCTACCCCCAAGGCCACCTCCCACTCCCCAAGCACTGGTGGCTTACAGTCAGTCTTCTCACCTCTTATGCTCACAGGGCAGAGTGACACGTACCTTCGCTGCATCGAGGTGCACAGCTACACCCTCATTCAGCTGGAGAGTTGGTTTACAGCCACAGGCCAGACACGCGTCACTGTAGTGGGACCATACAGTGCAAGGCAGTGGCTGTTGCACATGATGTCCCACGTGATAAGCCAGGACTCCTATCGTCATGCCCAGGGTAGGTATCCGTGGCTGAACTGTGGTTGAGGGCTTAGTGGAGCCTTGGCAGAGTTGCATGGCATCTTGGGTTCTTGAAGAACCAGCTGGGTGCCTGGGAATCCATGAGGTCCCTGGAGTCTTTTGGGAAGGGAAGGGCCCATTTTTTGTGGCATGTATTAATAATTGTTCAGGGAGGGGAAGATATTGAGGAGGTGTAAATAGGTCACTTGGGAAAACCAGGGTGGGGTGACACCCCCACAGTTTCCCCATGTGAGTTCTGGCCTGCCCTGGGGCTCCAGTTGTGGGCCCTGTTTCACCAGCTCTGGGCATTCTCCACACAGGCCTCAAGATGCTGGAGCATGTACGGAGCCAGCCCCTGAGCGAGCATGACCTGGAGACCCCCATGAGCATGGAGTCCAACACCGGGGACCTGTCATTGGCCAGCAGGATGAGTGGAACCATCTCTCTTAGTGTTCCGGAGGCTTCCCCTTACCGCCTGGCTGGTTGTTCTGGGTTCCATCTTAGTTCCCTCTATTGGAGATAAAGGACTGGTCTCCCCAGGGACAAGGTGGATATGTAAGGAATCTTGGCTAGTCATTTGAGAGCGTCCTTTAAAGACATTGTAAGATCTGTCTTCAGAACATGAATAAATCAAACAATAAACACTTCCTAAATCTCCATTCCAGAACTTTCTCCCAAATGCCAAATCTACCTTTGGATCTCTCTACCCAAGCTTATGGCAAGTTAAGCACGTCTTTACTTGAACACTTCCTCTTAATTTGCTCCTTTTTGAGCATTCTGTGTCTTACAACTGGGGATTTCAGTACTCCAGGAGAGAGATTGATGGTGTCTTGACCAGAGTGGAGGTCAAATGTTAGGAAATGTACATGGTCAGTTACTAAAGAAAAGTTGGAAAGGTCAGATTCATAGTGGAAAAACACTTTGAATCTGAGTGGAAGAAGAAAACAACCAAATCATAGTATTCTCAAAGGGAATATCATGTTTATTTCTGAGTTTATAATTTCAAGATTGATGGCTGATAAAGAAGAGGGAAAACTTAATTTGTAAAAGGCATGTTCAGAAAAGTTTTTTTGCTTTAAGTTTCGCACCAAGAATGATCAAATTAACATTCTGTCTTCCTAAGCCACAATTCTGATCTGTAAATCCCTGTCACCAAAGGTTTCTGTGTGGGCACATCCTAGGTACTATAATGTAGGAGTTAATATTTCAAACACTGGAGTGAGAATACATTCTTTCAAATCCTAGCTCTACCAGTAAGTAGCTTTATGATGTTTGTTCTTTACCAATTTCTCAGTGCCTTGGTGTAACAGAAGAAATGGCTTGAAAATATAGGAAAAATGCTTTCTGTCGCTTTAAACAATCCTCATCTTTTGGAGAACTGAGACCTGTATTCCTTTTTCAGGGCAGTGGTTGGGAGGGGCAGGGGAAGGTCTTTTATACTTCTTGCCACCAGGAGATGGCTCAAGGGAATTGTCTGGGTGGAGGTCAGGAGCTAGGTTTAGCTGAAGGTGGGATGAATCCAGGTGGAGGTCAGGAGACTGTTTTAGCCATAGATGGGATTGATGAGAACCTTTAGAAGCTTTATTCTTCTGCTCAGAAGCAGGCCATAGCATTTCAGACAGGAGTCTCCCTCCTCCCCATTTGTCAGCAAATTAATAAAACTCTTTCCTTCTCAAACCAATTGTTCTCAGTCTTCTGATGCTGCCTGGGGACAAGTGCCAAATTTTGGTAAATGTGGTTTTCTGATCTATAATAGAGACAATAATAGCAACTAACTCTGGACAATTTTTTTTTTTTTTGCCTAGGATTCTCAGAAGTTTCCTAAGCTTGTGAAATTGTGCAACGCACACGTCCTACCAACAGTAGCGGCTGTGGCACAGAGATTCCGCATGCCTTGTCACTGGGCTAACACTTTTGTGACTCTTTCTTGTAGGGAAAGCAGTAGTAAGAGACTATTTGCTAAATATATTTATTTATTCTGGATTTTAATATATGTGAAATCCTATATTTGTCTGAGGGTGAAGAATTTCACTTGGCCACAAATATCAAACACTACACATTGCTAGCTACTTAGGAATAAATTATAATTCAGAACCAAGGAAAAAAAATTCCCAACCAGGATCCAGGTACCCTCAATTATTTGTTATGGTTAGAGAATCCCCAAACCAAATTCCTAAGAAAGGCCATATCTTTTAATGTGTATTAGTCAGAACTCTTCTTGGGAAATTTTAAAATAAGGATCAGCTGGTACTTTAAATTATGCTAACTCAGGTGTACCTGTAGAGAATTTACTTAAAGACTATTATTTTCTAAATATTAAGCACCTGACTTAGTAGAAAAAATGTGTATATATATGTTTTTAAGTTTCTTTATCTGTCTATGTAGAAAGAATATAAAGGTTAGTAGCAGGAGAGTTGGGTTTCAGTTCTAACTCTGCCATTGATTGTTAATAATTAGACACCTCGTATAATTGTCTTTTTTTTTTTTTGAGACAGAATCTCACTTTGTTGCCCAGGCTAGAGTGAGTGCCATGGAGTTAGCCTAGCTCAAAGCAACCTCAGACTCCTGGGCTCAAGCGATCCTCCTGCCTCAGCCTCCTGAGTAGCTGGGACTACGGGCATGCACCAGCATGCCTGACTAATTTTTTTCTCTATATATTAGTTGGCCAATTAATGTCTTTCTATTTATACTAGAGACAGGGTCTTGCTCTTGCTCAGGCTGGTTTCCAATTCCTGACCTGGAGCAATCCGCTTCCCTTGGCCTCCCAGAGTGCTAGGATTATAGGCGTGAGCCAACATGCCCGGCCTAATATAATTGTCTAAATGAGTTTCCTCACAGTAAAATGGGGATAACAAAAGTGTGGATTACATGAGCTGAGACATGTGGAAATGCCTTATAAATTGATAGCTACCCCCTCTTCCACCATGTTGTTATATTGTTATCATTGTTACTAGTTGACCTTGGCTGAGGAGAGAATGTGGAATGCTAATGTGTGAAGTCACTAGTAACATCAGTGAAGTCATCAAATTACACTTGCCAGATTATGCTTACTTAGTGGTAAATTGGTTAAGAACTTCTTGTGCTGCTGTTCTTTTTTTTTCTTTCTTTACCTTTTATCCTTTTTTTTTTTTTTTGAGACAATGACTCAATTTGCCCCCTCACCTAGAGAGCTCATTGCAACCTCAAACTCAAACTCTTGGTCTCAAGTGATCTTCTGGCCTGGGCCTCCCAAGTGCTCAGATTAGAGGTGTGTGCCACTGTGTCCAGCCCTTTTACCTGCTGCTGCTTTTGTTGTTGTTGTTGTTTTTGAGTTTCACTCTGTTGCTGGGCTAGGGTGCCATGGCATCAGCCTAGTTCACAGCAACCTCAAACTCCTGGGGATTCAAGCAATCCTGCTGCGCTCAGGCGCTCCCTGAGTAGGCTGGGATTTACCCAGCAGGGCATGTTGGCCACCATGGCCGCGGCCCTAATTCGCAAGGCTGCTAAAGAGTGTATTCTATGATGTCATTTGTACAGAGAGAAGAAAAAATTGTTGTATGTGTGTGGCATTTATCTGGGTACTAAAGATAAATACAAGAAATCAGAAACAAATTTAGGAATGAACCGTATGGCTGAAGGACAGTGTTGGGAGGGTATCTCTTTCACTTAAGCACGTTTTAAATTCTGAACCCTATGAAGATTGTCCTATTGAAAAAAAAATTTTATTTAAATTAAAATGCCTAGGAGATATTCAATTTACTTAAGGAAAAAGAGTTCCAGACAGACAACATATTTTGGTAAGGCTTATAAGTTCTTTTCAATTTAGGCAATAAAATTTTCAC